CACTCGACTTGTCTGTTGTCGACTCGTTCGACTTTATTTCGTAGAGGGACTGTGTTTCATAGTAAAAAATACGGTTTCTGCTATTCAGAAATTTGCAGGTTTCGCCTGTCATTGGAACACAATTTTTCCAATTTTTTCCCTGTGCCATTTTTCAAAATAAACTTAGTCAAAACAAAATAAATGAACAGTAATATATAGTAGAGAAAAGCGATGCGATGAACTATCAGCAACGAGTGAGTGTATCCGGTCATTTGACCGTCGTGAGACAGGTTATTTTTACCCTAATGATGTTTATTTGCGGGATTAAGCTAATTACAAATGTTATTGTTTTGGCTCAGAGGGGCTTAGCCGAAGTGCACATTCCCGGGGTTTCCGTTAATTGTAAATTATTTTTTATTTTTTAAAAAGCTGTTTTTTCTTGAAATAAAAACGTGATTTAATAAAAAAACAAGGTTGTATGGCTGCCTATAAGTATAAGTCACCATTTAATAAAAGAAAAAAAAATGAAGAAAAAAATCACCACGAAAGTCTACTACATCCTTAAAATGTTTTTTTTCATGAAAGTTAATATTTTAATAATGTGCCGAGATGCTTAATGCATTTGGAAATCACTGTTACCATGGCAACAATTCAACAGTAAATTTGAATATTGACCACACAGTTACAAGTTTGCAAATTCAAAGATCAGTCTGACACCTAAACATTGAGGGGCAGTTTGTTATTCTTTTTTCTAAAAACATTTTAATCCTTCTGACACCTAATTTATCATCTAATTTAGGTTTCCGTAGTCATTGACGCCTATTCAAGAGAATGGTTTATTGTGGGTAGCATGAATGAGTAAACTGCATTTAGACAATAAGCTGTTCTTCAATGCTCAGTTCATCTTTCAAAAACAATTAATTATTCCTAAATCTTGATTTAGGAAAAATGCTGTTCTCCAATTAAAATCAAAAGATGGAATTACATTGGTGATTTTCTTTCGTGTTGCATTCACCATGAAGTCACTGAAGTGTCATTAACATATTTAAATGATCTGTGGTAATTTAAAAATGTTGGTACCATGCAGCATTCTGATTAGTTAGAGACTTGATCTATAAGGTCAAGTCATGTATGGAAAAAACATGGTGGATATTGTAATGTATCAGGCTTGTGCATGCGACCGAAAACATTCTAAATTGAATTTTACATGCATTTCAGAATTTTATATTTTGTACATTATTATAATCACTACTAAGTAATTATCAACAATTAAAACACTTCAAAAGTTATTCAATTGTGAAACGCAGCATGACCAGACTGTTACAGACACTGACTATTTACTACTAGGCAATGCATTCATCATGTGAAGATACCACCATTTTCCCTGATTGACTGTACACTTCGTGGTGCCTATTTTAAGAACAATTTAAGGCCTTTTACTATTCCCTGACGCTTAAATTAGAGATTTGATGGTATTTATAATTGGCCAAAATTGTGATGTTGCATATTTTTATGTATTTTCTTTAAAGACAGCTGACGGTCAAAATAGCTCTGCTGTCCGCACATGTACAAGAACATTGTGGTGGCTAAGTTGAGCAACTCACACCCATACTAAGTATCAGGCAATTGAGCAGGCAGTTTTCAAGAAGAAGTCAAAAATAACAATTTTTTACCAAAAATGACAAAAATATTTGCCAAAAATAGAGAATTGAAGACGTTGTCATGAAATTAACAAATTT